TCTCGGCCAACAGCGCGGATCAGCCTCGGGACACCAGATTCCGACATCGTGCGAAGTATGCAATGCGATTTGATTGGCTACGTCAATAGTGTGCGATGTACTCACTGTTTGCTACGATGAAGTGAAAAGTCCAGTTTTCACCAAAAACGACAATATTTGGTACTATTAATACCTCTGTTTTGCAAACATTGCAAGCAGCATCGATTGGTCAACTTCCTGTTCTCTGATTGGCAAACAAATTAGTGGTTCTTGCTTCTTGCGATGAGCTCTATCTGCGTGCAATTTTTCGTGGATTATATATTAATTTCGCATGACGCATTGACATCCAAAGTCCAATACAAAAATCAAGTCAAATTTGACAGTCGAGCAGCGAGTCGCTTTGTACCAAGATCCTCTCGCGTACCGTCCACGGCAAGCTGTCGAGGGACATCGTCAATTCTATGTGCGCACAGTACGGTGTAAACCACGGGGTGGTGCATCTTCAAACGCGGCCAGGACACGCGAAAGCAGACCGGCACTGCATGTGTCGTTGCCCGGTTGAAAGGAAACAATGGCCGACGCAAGAAGTACAGTCCTGACGCGGTAGAGGCTCGCATCAAGAGAGAACACCGCTGCAACAGCGACAAACTTATCATGCTCTCGCCGCGGCCACCGGTCTGTCCGTCTTCCTGCTGTGGACGTACGTCAAGCAGAAGTGGATGACACGACGCTCAAGTTGGACACGACCGTGCCTGAAGGACAACCAGAAAGAAGCCCGGGTGAAGTTCTGCGAACGATTTCTGACAGAGAGTGGTAAAGTAAATGATATGTATCATACCGTTCATGTCGACGAAAAGCGGTTACTTCCTCTGTTTCACATTACCGGTGGCATTTCGCTTTGACACGACCCCAAAACTTTATTTCTTATCCAAATTTAATGAGCCATATCGTGTTCGACAGAGAATGAAAAGATACGAGAAGTATCTATTGACTGGACACGGCGAAAATGAACACAAGCCACCGGGAAAACATTATGCCATACCCGCTTCCACAAAAATAAAAAAAATCTCATTATTGTTTTCAAAACTACGGGACCTGACATCATCTCCGACATGGACACTGCGCACACCAGCCGAGAACTCACGCATGAGAGAAAGATGGACGTAGTTAAACGACTCCAACAATACATCAACTTGGGCAAACTTTCCCGTGGGGCCATCAACTTGACTGCTGTCGCCATGGGAATAAACCGCAACACTGTGGCACTTGGGTAAGGACGCTTTGAGACGCGCGGATGCCTTGATGGAAAATGTGTCCTGTCCTGTGACGCTGTTGGCCTAGCTCGTTGCAATTCCGACTGTATCCTTTTGTAACCAATAACATGCAAGTATTTCTCCTTTGGCCAATCACAATAAATGCCACCAGTAATGTGGAAAAAGTCGATTTTGAAATGCCACCAGTAATGTGAAACAAAGGAAGTATATATGACCAAGATCCGCCGAAGCTTTCTGCTTTGGAATGACGAGCAACTGATCCCAAGACTTCTCCAACCCAAGTCGCACATAACCAAAGTCATGTTCCTTTGTGCGGTTGCGCGACCAAGAAATGGCTGGGACGGACGACTCGGATGCTGGGAGATTGTGGACCGCACGTCGGCCGTCAGGAAGAGTCGCAACAGGCCTGCGGGATCTGAAGTGTTAAAGAGCGTGGTCGTAACGAAGGACGTCTACCGCCGCATCCTCATCGACAAGGTTGTACTCGCGATCAAATCGAAATGGACGTGGCCGCTTGGTGTCGATGGTGGTGACATCGTCATCCAGCAAGACAACGCGCGGCCTCACATCGGTCTGGACGATGCCGAGTTTGTCACAGCCGGCGAAGAAGGCGGTTGGACCATTCGCATCCAAAACCAACCAGCTCAATCGCCGGATTTGAATGTTTTGGATTTGGGTTTCTTTAACTTGATTCAATCCCTGCAGCAGACGCTGGAATGCCGCAGTATGGAAGAACTTATTGCTGCCGTCAGGTGCTCCTATCTGATGCTGTCACCCACGAAGCTGGAAAAGACGTTCCTGACACTGCGCCGAATTATACTTGTCGTCATCGCGGCCAAGGGTTGCAATCGGTACAAGATTCCTCGAAGTGCATCGCCAGCAGAGGACGAATTGGCTTTGTCATTGATGAATGTGAGACTCGAGGAAAAGGATAGATTAGAAGATGTAGCAAACATGTTGTCATCATTGAACATGGATGAACAGTAATATTCATTATATTTAGATTCAACGCACCTTGAATTTTGTATAGTCCAGAATGTTCGCTTGCAAAATTTGCAAAACAGAGGTAGTACAAATTTCCAGGTCCGCCGAATCGAAGCACACAAAGACACCATTGGTCCATCAAACATACGATGCGAGGATTGGGTAAAATCAACCAATCAGAAGCGGTTGACCTTCCGGTTCTGGAGTGATGGGTCGGTTGAACTTTGGTCGGCACCACGACTTGCTGGTCCTTTGAGTAACACAAGGTCATCACAACGATGTCATCGCAGCAGTCCCAACAGGACCGGGCTGTTGAATAGTATGTTGTTTCCTCGGGGAGCCAACACAAAATCTTGAATCTCAAGTGCAAGTCCTGAGACGCCGAGTTTTTTGCACACGTATGTGAAACAAGACAGGATCACAGGAAGCTATGTTAGCTATTAATGTGAGGATGAAGACGTGTTATACGCGTAAACTATTGAAATGATCTAGATTTCGCATCGATTGGCTAACCATACCGGCGTCGGAATATTCTTCTAAGACTTTGAGATCTACTCCGCCGAAACACTTGCGTTTGGTTCCCTGCTGGAGTGGGCGATGTTGGGCTTCGGTGACTTTGGTTGTGGTTGCCTTTTCGATGACTTTGGTGAGCTGTATCCAGGCGGCCGTATCGTGAGCGATTTTGCGGAGTTCTTCGAGGTACACTCTGTCAGCAGTTGCCTCAGGGATGATCATCTGCTGAGTTTCTGATGGAGTGTGGAAGGGAGGCTTGTGGCTCAGCGTCCCTAGTATTTGGGAGCTGCAGAGTCCTTGAAGTATGCGGTCATGAATGTGTTGTTGGGGATGTCTCTGTGCCGTTGAAGGATGTGGCAAGAGGTTCCATCTATCGGTGGACCGAAAGGTGTAGTGGCTTCGTGTTTCATCGGCGGTAAAGAGATTCGTCGGATATTTGCGTTGGAAATTGGATTCCGATGTAGGAGAGCGGAGTTGGCGACGGTGACACATATCAAGGGACTTGTTTCCGGTCTGTGTGAGTGCCCATGTTCCACAATTGTCGAGTTGGATGGGTTTGATGTAGCTGTCATACAGACGGAGGCGAGTGTCATTTCGGCGATACGTTCTCGACGTCAGTGTCCACATATATTCAGAAGCTGGCTAGGGCAAGTGCCTTCCGTTTTTGAATGTCGTTGGCGTCGTTCAAGAGGCTTCCAAGTTTACGGGTGGTATGCCATGTGTAGTTTGGAGGCGACTGTTTTGGCGGCCTTGTGTTAAGCAGGGTCGTGACTTCTGCTTTTTTCGGGTTCATTGTGAGAGCCATTGCGCCAAGATAGAGGGACCTGTTTCGAGGATGTCGTCGATGGCTTCTGGTATGAAGCAAACGATGTCAATATCGTCAGTGTAAGCGATGGTCTTGAATGGAATGTCCAGTTTGGACAAGAGATCTCGTTGGAGGTCGCGCTGCTTCAAGATAGACGATAAACAGAGCGGGAGAAAGGGAGTCGCTTTGTGGTGTGCCAATGTGGGTATTGAAATTCTCCTCCGAAGAAGGACTGGTGCCTGAGCTTTAGCGTGGTGTTGGTGAGTATGAGCGAAATAAGCCTGAGTTCGTCATCGTCGACAATTGTCTTGGAACCTGAAGGAGCTTCGTGCGGTCGATCGTTTCGAAAGCCTTTGATAAATTGATGCCTTGGATGTAGTAGACCTCTTGATACTGTAGTGCCGCATACGGGTGAGGAGTCACGTATGGGCCAAATTGCGTCGGATGTACCTCGGTGCTTGCGAAATCCGCATCGTATTGACCAAGATAAGATTTCATCTAAGGAGCGATGCGTTGTAGAACCAAGATGAGATGGTTTTGCGGATGTGGTTAACGAGAACAATTGGCCTAAAATTAAAAAAATATAAAAAACCTGAGCATTGTCCAAGTAGCTTGCCTGGTTTGTGGAGGCAGACCAGTATACCTGCTCCTATCGAAGTGGGTTTGCATACTTCAAAGCTGCGGTTGAGAGTACGTGCCAAAAATGGGTATAGTGCGGGTACGACTGCTTTGAGGATTTCGGATTGGAGGTTGTCTGGACCGGCCGCTCGGTTATAGCATACGTGTCCAATACTTGCTGAATTAGCGGTGGAATCGTCTTCACTTCACTTGAAAAGGTGGTAATCTTGATCATCCATGCATTGTCCACACTTGGGGCAGGTTTACTTTCCACATTATTTATAGAGAGTATCTTGTGATTTCTCCAGTCGAAGTTGGGATTGTAACGATGAAACCAAGGTTTTCCCAATATGATATCGAAGTCTTTCTTCCCGAGATCCCACTCAGTAAACGACAGATCTGGAAATGTCCATCCTTCCAATACTAAAGTTCCTGTGACTTCGTTGACTTGTTTGAGGCCGGATGAATGTCCATCAAATCCTTCAATAAGGGCGTTTCGTTGCTTCACAATAGTGTCGCAAAGTCCGGGGCGACACAGGAGGTTTGAGGCACCACAGTCGATGAGGACACGGGCCAGTTTGTCATCGATAAGGCCATTGGATATCATCAGAGTGTTCTCTTTTACTTTGTCTTGTTTCGTTTCTTCCACGATGTGAGCCTGGATAACTTCAATTTCTTCGTCTTCATCGTCTTCATGATCTTCTTCAATATGCATTTGAGCATTGTTTTGGCGGCTTGTCGGACGGTTATCTCGTTGATATCTGTTCTGGCGATTCCTTATGTTTGGCTGGCGTTGCGTATGCGAATTTTGTGGAGCACTGCGGCATTGAGCTGCGCGGTGGCCTTATCGTCCACAATTGTAACTTTTCTCTTGTGATCTTTGCGGAGGACGGGATACTTGAACATTGTCGACTTCCATGTCGACGTCTTCTTGATGTCGTGGGTGGTGATAATATCCCACGGTGCGCTGATCTTGGTACTGGTGATGGCTTTGGTCTTGAGGGCGTTGGAACCTTGTGCGATTGTTGCGTCTGTCTTGATAGCGATGATCCTTCGGGCGGCTGTTGAGACTTCAGTTGTGAGCACGCTCATAATCAAGGGCGGTTTGGATGGCGGCGGTCACATTGGGGCGTCGTCGGTACTGGACTTCTTCTCTCGTTCTTGTGCGCAGTCCACGTTGAAACCAAGATACTTTGTCTCTTTCTGTCATGTCGCAAATTTGGGTGCAGATGCGTCTAAACTTGGCAACGTATTCCATCAAGTTTGCGCAATTGGCTTGTTTCAATTCATAAAGTTGGTCACGAAGTCGGTCTTGTAAATCTTCTGGTTCGAATTCTTCGCGAAGTTCATTTTCTAGTTCTATTAATGTTTCGGGCGATCTTCCTGTTGTACGCAAACGGTCTTGATACCATGCGGC